TTAGAGGCCTCACAGCTGAGAAGGACCTGTTTTATGCTGAGAGAAATGACAGTGCGTTTCCATGTTGTTGGCAATAATCAAATAAACAGGATAAGAGTGCTGCTGCAGGAGAAGAAGGGGGCAGATGCTAGACTGACAATTTGGGGGTAGGTGACAGGGTCTGGGATTCTCCTACAGGAGCAGCAATGGGGCTGGGATGTGGGGGTGGGAGTGGGGAAGTTGTCCTCTGTGTGCTTCCATTTTCTCAGAATCCCACCACTGTGGGAGGCTTAGGCAGGAGGATCACTTGAGGCTAGAAGTTTAAGGCTATCGTAGGCTATGATCCTGCCACTGCACCTCACCCTGGGTGACAAAGCAAGACCCTGTCTGGAAAAAAAAAAAAGAAAGAAAAAAGAAAGAAAGAAAGAAAAGAAAAAGCATCTTAAATGCCTTTCCTATAATCCTAGCACTTGGGAGGCCAAAGCAGGAGGATCACTTGAGCTCAAGAGGTGGAGACCAGCCTGAGCAAGAGACCCTATCTCTACTAAAAATAGAAAAAAATTGTCCAGGCATTGTGGTAGGCATCTGTAGTTCCAGCTACTTGGGTGGCTGAGGCAGGAGGATTGCTTGAACCCGGGAGTTTGAGGTTGCTTTGAGCTAGGCTGACTCGAAGACACTCTACCCTGGACAATAGAGTAATACTCTGTCTCAGGAAATAAAAAAAGCAGCAAGCAAGATCATTCATCAGCTGAGAGAAAGAAGAGTGCAGAAGTACATTGGACATTTTAGGACAGAAAACAGACAGAAATTTACCTCGACAAGTACTGAGAACCGTAATAGAGCCCAAAGATAGTGATAGGAATACCAGCAGAGCCAGAAACAGGGTGAGAATTTATAGAGACTGTGGATATGGGAAGGTCCTCAAATTCAAGACACACTTATCACTTTGGATTTTGTTGTCCCCTTCATGGTAAGCTCCATGAAGAGAGTGCTGACTTCATTCTTGCTCTTCCCTAATCCCAAGCTATGGCACAGCACCCACTATGAAGTAGATGTTCTGAAAACATTTGCTGAAAGAACGAATGAATCAAGAATAATAGAAATAACTGATATTGACCCAAAGTCCTTAATGTAAAAGGCACACTAATATTCACTTGATAAATTTGATCTACCCTAGTCCCACAATGAGCCCACTTACAGCATAACCTCAGGATGCACTGGGGTTCAACAGACCCAGGATGTGGCACGAGTTGCACGTCCTGACTCATGTGGCCCAGTTCACATCCAGTATGCACTATCTTTCCACTGCCACTGGGAGACACTAGGAGTACACTCACACATTGCTGTTCTGACCTCAAATGAAGGGCTGTCAGGGACAAGCACACAGGAGGGCAGCTGCTGCAGATGCTGTTCTGAATAGCAGGCTTCCTTCTGGGAGGCAGGAGGGAGCACAAGGCTAATGATAGTAATAATGCAGGGATGAAGGGGGAGAGTCTGGAGGGGCCTGGATGTGAACACAGAACCTGAAGCATTCAGTACAGGGCAGAAAGCAGGGAGGACAGGCAGACAGAGAGGAAAGGCAGGAGGAGAAAATGAAAAGAGTTCAGAGTGGGCAGGGGTTCCAGGAGTTCACTAAGCAATAAATATCGAGCATCTACTATTTGCCAAAGCACTGTGGTAGAAGTTGGGATGTAGGGTGAACGAGACAAATGAGATCTTTCAATTTTTTATTTATTTTAGTTTATTTTTTTAGATAGTCTCACTATGTCACCCTCAGTAGAGTGCTGTGGTGTCACAGGTCACAGCAACCTTAAACTCTTGGGCTCAAGCAATTCTTTTGCCTCAGCCTCCTTTGTAGTTGGGACTACAGGTGTCCACCCCAATGCCCAGCTATTTTTTGTTGTTTGTTTGTTTGTTAAGCAGGCTGCACAATGCCCAGGTATTTCTTGTTTGTTTGGCAGGCTCAGGCCAGGTTTGAACCCACCAGCCCTGGTGCATGTGGCCAGCGTCCCAACTGCTGAGCTACAGGCGCTGAGCCAGAGATCTTTACTTTCGAATGGAAGATGGGGGCAGACAATAAATAGTAAACAAATATAAGCTCATTTCAGAAAATGATGAGTTGGACAGATAATGAAACATAGCGATGAAATAGAGTGGAAGCCACTTTAGGTTTTAAACAGAGATGAAGGAGCCAACCAGGTAAAGATGGAAGGAGGGTGGCAAAACATTCCAGAAAGGAGGAATTAAAAGGGCAGGGGTGCTTGGGTGGCACCTGTGGCTCAAAGAAGTAGTAGGGCATTGGCCCCACTATCCCAAGGAAGTGGGGGGTTCAAACTCTGCCCCAGCCAAAAAGTGCAAAAAAAAAAAAAAAAAAAGGGCAGGATGCTAAGAAAAGGATTTCTGATGTTCTAGAGCAGCAAGCTATCTGATCTGGCAGAAGCATCGTGTATGAAGGGAAGTATAAGTTGGTGGCACCGTTACAAGGAGTTCAGTTTTATTTCAAGTATTATGAAAGCTACTTGAATATTTTAAACAGAGAAGAGCAAGATATGATTTAGATTTTTAAAAATATTACTAATACTGTGAACACTAGTTTTTTTTTGTTTGTTTGTTTGCTTTTTTGAGACAGAGCCTCAAGCTATCCCCCTGGGTAGAGTGCCGTGGCATTACAGCTCACAGCAACCTCCAACTCCTGGGTTCAAGCAAGTCTCCTGCCTCCACCTCCCAAGTAGCTGGGACCACAGGCGCCTGCCACAACGCCTGGCTATTTTTTGGGGTGCAGCCATCATTGTTGTTTGGCGGGCCCGGGCTGGATTCAAACCCACCACCTTAGGTGTATGTTGCTGGCGCCTAAGCCACTTAAGCCACAGGCACGGAGCCAACACTAGTTTTTCAAGAGCAAAAAGAGAAGAAAGGGTCCAGCTAGGCAGCTAGTGTGCTATTCCAAATGAGAGATGGTGGCTTACACTAGGACTATAGCAATAAAGGCAGGAAGTAGAGAAGTAGATAGTCAGGATATATTTTGGATGCAGACCTCATAGGACTTGTTGGTGAATTAGATATAGGGAGGGAATCAGTGTGTGTGGGGGGGATGTTTCCTAGGTTTTTAGCCTGAACAACTAGGAACTAGTCATGTCTCAGAATGGGGAACACTGGAAGAGAAATGGGATTGGGGGTGGGGGATTCAGACATCTATTTTAGTCACGTTAGCTTTGCATGGCTATTAGACATCCAAGTGGAGATGTCAAGTAGGCTGTTGGATAAATGAGTCTGGTGCTCTGGATATAAATTTAGGACTCAGTGACATTTACATAGTATTTAAGCCCTGGGACTGGATGAGATCACTGGATAGAGAATGTGGAAAGAGAGGAGGACCAAGGACTGAACCCTAGGAGAGTCCAATATTTAGAGGTCTGCTGAGGAAGACTAACAAAGAGTAGCCAATGAGATTGGCGAGAAACTAGGAGAGTGTGGTATCCTAGAAGAGCTATGAGAAAAAAACAACATAATGTGATAGAGAGGGATGGGGTGGAAGGTGGTGGAAGTAGGAGAAGGGGAGGTTACTTTTTTTTTTTTTTTCTTAAGACAGAGTCTCACAATGTCGCCCTCAGCAGTGTGTGTTCAGGCATCACAGCTCACAGCAACCTCAAATTCATGGGCTTATGCGATTCTCTTGCCCCAGCCTCCCAAGTAGCTGGGACTACAGGGGCCCACCACAACGCCAGGCTATTTTTTTGTTGTAATGTCATTGTTGTTTAGCAGGACTGGGCTGGTTTCCAACCACCAGCTCCGGTATATGTGTCAGGTGCCCTAGCCGCTAATCTACAGGCGCCAGCCAAGCCAGGGGGAGGCTACTTTTGATAGAGAGATCAAAGAAGGTCTCCTTGAAGACATTGGGTCTAGTAAGACGGCAGAGGGAAAAGCAAGTGCAAAGACCCTGAGGCAGGTTATGTCTCCTAGGAACCTAGATCAGGCCCACTGTGGCTGAGACACAGAAATATTGAGGAAAGGAAATCAGAGAGCTATCTAGAGACCAGGTCACAGTAAGGAGTTTGGATATTCTAAGTGCTGGGAAGGCCCAGTAACTGAAACATTTGCCACTTACTTTAGAGATCATTTGGGCTGATTTAGGGAAAATACTTTATAGCAGGATCAGAATATAATCGGGAATCAAGCCGTTGGGATAATCCAAAAATGGTGCGGAGTCTTTTCTTCCACTCCGCCCCCCCCCCCAATAACTCGCCTGCTGCCCTTACCTTGACTACTTTCCAAGAGGGCGTGGGGGTGGGGAACGGCAGTTTTGAAGGGATGGGGGCAATCAAATCAAGACAGAGGTGGAGACTCAGAGCACTGGATGACTCAGAATTTCAGAAACTGATTGGGGCGACCATGAGTGTCCCCAGAACTGGGGAGAAGGGGGTGAAACCTGTCAGCAAAACCCGGGGATTCGCACAGTCTCTCGCCCTCTCTACCCTCTCCAACCCGCCACCTAGGACAGAGCGGGGCACGACTCCTGCAGCGTGGCAGCAGGAGGGTTAATCCGTGCGTGGCCTACGGGGGGGCGAGGCGGGGAGGCGGAGACCAAGCGGTCTCAGCCGCCGCGCCGAGCCCAGTCGAGCCGAGCGCAGCCGGAGCCGAGCCGAGCCGAGCCGAGCAGAGCGGAGCATCTCCAGCCGCCGCCGCCCCGCGCCCCGGGCGCCCGCCCCCCACTGGCTCCAGCATCCTGCTGCGGGCCAAACCTGCCGACCATGCCCCCCACCCTGCCCGCTTCTGCGACCCCCAAGTCCCACACAGCCCTGACCGCCAGTATTCGTCGCGCCGCCGCGCCAAGCATGCAGGTGAGTGAGAGGGACCCCCCACGCCCCCACCCGAAGGGAGCCCGGCCCTGCCCTTCCCGACTCCGCGCCCTTAACCACCCGCCCTTCCCGGCGCGGTCCCTCGCCGGGGATGCAGTCTGCAGCCCCCAAGCATTCCTTCCCCAGCGTGCTCTCCATCCCTCCCAGGTCCGACTCTAGCCTGCCCTTCCTGGTGCAGCAGTCCCCATCCCCGAGGCTGCCTCCATCCCGCCTTCGGCTCAGCGGGCGGCTCCTAGCATCCTCTTGCCTCCAGTCCCCTTTCTGCTCTTGGCAGTCCCCTCCCTTGGAGTCCCTTAGCCGACCGCCTTTTCCTCGCTTCCCCCACTCTCTCTGCCTTCCAGTCCTTTCCCGGAGCGCGGGCCTCCAGGATGGGTGGGATGGGGGCAACCCTGGCGGTAGGGCCCGGTTCCCCCACGCCAAAGCTCCCGCCCCACCCCCAGCTCTTCTCCTGCGCACAACAGGTCGGTGAGGAGCGAGGAGAGGGTGGGGGTGGCGCGCCAGCTTGGGGACTGCGGGCTTCCTGGAGGGGGTGATAAAGGGGTTGGAGTTGATGCTGGTGATAGGTAAGGGGATGCACTGGTGGAGGGACAAGTGAGTCCTGGAGTTCACCTGGCCATAGACGTCTCTGGGAACCCTTCTCCGCTTCACTGGTTCGCTCCAACACTCCTCCCTCCCTCTCTCTGTCTTCCTTCGTTTCCCCTCCCTCTCCCCCCTCTTCACACCATGTCCCCATCCCTTATCTCTTTCCATAGCTTCATGGCCCTTTACATTTTGAGAAACAATTTCCAACTGCTCCATCTGTGCTGTCTTGGTTCTCGGCTCCCCAGCCCCTGTCCCCTCTCATTTTGTCTTCAGTATTACGTTCTCTCCTTTCTCATCTCCTTTCTCCCCATCCTGGTCGTCACTCCCTACCACTCCACTTCTTTGGCTGTCCTGTCTGGACCTCTCTTTCCTTCTCCCCCTGCACCTGTGACCCCTTCACCCTCTCCTTTTCCACTCCTGGACCTCTTTTCAGCATCCTCCACACTTCAACCATCTTCTGTACCCTTCTCTCCTCTCTTCATAGGCCATTCTTTTTCAGGACTCCCTGCTCTCCCTACCCTGCACTCCAGGCGGTTCCTATTTACCTTTCTCCTCTTCCCTCTAAATCAACCTTCCCTCTCCCAGCCCTTCATGCCCTTCCCATCTCTCCCCACTGCCCACTTCCTGTTCCCTTCCCCTGACTTCCCCATCTTATGCCCCTGAAATACTCTGGGAGTATTCAACGTGCAGATTTGGACCCAGAATCCAGAGGACATGGGATGTTATCCCCTCTTTCCTTTTGAGGAGTTTGACCACCCTTAGCTCTGAGAACATACCCTGCCTCTTTCAAAACCAACCAATCATCCAGATTTTCCCAAGATTCTTTACCCAGGAGAGCTACATGTGAGGGGGTGGCTTCCTCTCAACTCCACCTCCTTCAGAGGGCACCTATGCATTTGGATGATTAAACATTAAGAGCAAAAATTATATTCTGTAAAATTTTTCTCCCACCCACCTCTCTTTCTCTTTTTCTTTCCATCCCTTCATCTCTTCCTTTCTCCTGAAGATGCAGACTCCTGGGGCCAATCATGAGAAAAATGCCTGGCATTACAAGTGGGGCCCCCCTGCATGCGGGTGCACACGCGCACACACTCTCACTTAGATTGACTTCCCTTTCCCTCCCCCCACCTTCAGACTCCCTCCCTATCAGTAGGTGCTCAAGTAATCACAAGGTTCTTGGCTCTAAATTAAGATCCAAGAAAATCTTGGAGCTGTGGGTAGAGGAAGTAAGAAGGAAGCTGGAGAAGCCAGAGTAGACCCTAGGGTGGGGAGGTAACGGGGACCTGGGAATTTGCAGATGGGGCTGGGGGCTGGTCAGGGAACCACTCTGGGAGATTCCTCCCCACCCAAGGATGCTAAGAAGTGGATCCTGGGTGGCAGCAGCTGGCAGCCTAGGAGGGGAGATAAGGGTAGAATTGGTAGATGAATGAGCTAGGGAAGTACAGAGAGCAGGGTTGGGGTGTGACAACCCCCTTTTTTACCCTAGTAAAGGCTGAAAATCTGGGTCACAGCTGAGGAAGACTTCTGACATGGAGTCCAGGATGTGGTAAGTTTGGCCCAGCAGAGGGAGCTTGGAGACCACTTACTGTGGGCATGGCCCTTTCTTTCCTAGGCCTATCGGGGCCTGCCCTCCCCACACATAGGCCCACCTGGACCTGCTGTCTCACCTACTTTCTCTCCCTTCTTGCAGGCCTGCTCTGCTGCTGTCCCACCTTCTCCCTCTCTGGCCACTGCTATTGCTGCCCCTCCCACCTCCAGCTCAGGGCTCCTCCTCCTCCCCTCGAACCCCACCAGCCCCAGCCCGCCCCCCCTGTGCCCGGGGAGGCCCCTCAGCTCCACGTCATGTATGTGTGTGGGAACGGGCACCTCCACCAAGCCGATCCCCTCGGGTCCCAAGATCTCGTCGGCAAGTCCTGCCAGGCACTGCACCTCCTGCCACCCCATCAGGCTTTGAGGAGGGCCCACCCTCCTCACAATACCCCTGGGCTATTGTCTGGGGTCCCACAGTATCTCGAGAGGATGGGGGGGACCCCAACTCTGCCAATCCTGGATTTCTGGACTATGGCTTTGCAGCCCCCCATGGGCTTGCTACCCCACACCCCAACTCAGACTCAATGCGGGGTGATGGAGATGGCCTCATCCTTGGAGAATCACCTGCCACCCTGCGGCCATTCCTGTTTGGGGGCCGTGGGGAAGGTGAGTAGGAGAGTCTGATAAGGATATGAGGTATGGGGACGCTGGGTAAAGATAAGCAGCAGAATTAGAGGCCTTGTCTGTTAGCTCCTTCAACAAATGTGCTGGGGACTATGCTGGCACAGGACACAGAGATGGAGGCACTATCGAGCCCCTGAAGAGTTCAGGTCCACTAGAGAAGACAGATGTGTAAACCCTCAGGGATGAGTCAACATAATAAATACTCTAATAGAGGCATGTACAGCACATTTTTAGGAAAAGAGAGAAACGAGAGAGGACTTCTGCCTTGGAGTCAGGACACTTTCAAAGAATTGATATTTGGGCGGTGCCTGTGGCTCAAAGGAGTAGGGCACTGGCCCCATATACAGGAGGTGGCGGGTTCAAACCCAGCCCGGGCCAAAAACTGGAAAAAAAAAAAAAAAAGAATTGATACTTGAGCTGGACCTTGAAAACAGAGTGGGAGTATTCTAGGCAGAGGAACACCCTGGAGGAAGGGGGGACTACCAGAGTGACGTTTTGGTCCAGAGAGTGCTGATGGAGGGATAGGACTCGTGGTTTGGGGGCTGGGCCATGGAAGAGAGTAGGACATCTCCACGCTGAAATTTCTATGTGGAGAGATAGGTTCTTTCTGATCTTGAAGCCTCATCCTCGTCACATGTACATGTAAGATTTGGTGAAATATCTTTGGGAAAGTGAAGGAAAGAGCTTGTCAACTGAGGGGAAAGCTGGTGATAAGAAGACAAAGGCTGGATTGGTGCCCATAGCTCAGTGAATACAATGCCAGCCACATACACTGAGGCTGGCAGGTTCAAGCCTAGCCCGGGCTTGCTAAACAATGACAACTGCAACAAAAAAATAGCTGGGCACCTGTAGTCCTAGCTACCCAGGAGGCTGAGGTAAGAGAATCACTTAAGCCTAAGAGTTTGAGGTCGCTGTGAGCTATGATGCCACAGCACTCAACTGAGGGCAACATAGGGAGATTCTGTCTCAAAAAACAAAAAAGAAGAAGGAGGCTCCAGAGAAGCAGAGAGTTAGGCACTGTGGTTTCACACGGCAAAAGTCCTCCAGTTTACTGAACCACAGCCCAACCCTGCCACCCCCTTCTGGCTCCTGCCATCTCAGGCCTCCCTAAAACTTTCTCCTCACCCCAATCAGGTGTGGACCCCCAGCTCTATGTTACAATCACCATCTCCGTCATCATTGTTCTCGTGGCCACTGGCATCATCTTCAAGTTCTGGTAAGCTAAGGGGAGAAAGATGCTAGTGGATGGGGTCTGAACATTTGATAATCAAGTCTGAAAGCAAGGCAGGAGTCTGAGGAAGCAAGGGCAGCAGTGTTGCTGCAGGCAGAGTAGGAAATGGTGGATGAAGATAAGATCTCGGGACAAGGCAAAACTCCTTGTAGGAGTAGGGATTGGGGTGGGAGAAGACAGTGAGAAACCCGGGCAGATTCCACCTTGCAGGGAAATACAAGGATAATAAGAGGGAAGAATTATTTATGTATAATAGGGGCTTTGGTGGGCATGCCTTGTCCCTATTTCCTCCAAGGCAGAGAAAACTGACCCAGTCTGCAGCACCCATTCTCAAAGCTGCCTGCAGGGGAGGGAGAAAATCTGGAGCTTTCTTTGCACACGTTTAATAATGGATCACTCAGTCCTTCACACTTTACTGAGAGAATCATTAGACTAAGGTGTCTAGGTCATTAGCTGACTAAAACTAAACCTGCCAGGTGCCTGCTGAGGAGAGAAATGGCTTTTCTGGGCATGCATGGGGGAAGGGGCAATTTGGGGGTACTGTATTTGTGTGGGGGTACTAATCCTGTGGATCTGGTTGGGAGGATGGGTTAGATTCCTGAGCCCGCCAGGGGTAGCAGAAGTGGTTTTATGGGAGATTTGGTGTAGGGGAACTTTTTCAGAGGCCAGTTTCTCTGCCTCCAAAAGGATGTTGAGGGAACCTGGGGGTGACCAGCATGTAGGCCCAGGATGGGGGCTACTTGAGTATGTGAAAGAACCTCTTTCCTTCTGGTGCCCCAGCTGGGACCGAAGCCAGAAGCGGCGCAGGCCCTCAGGGCAGCAAGGTGCCCTGAGGCAGGAGGAGAGCCAGCAGCCGCTGACAGACCTATCCCCTGCTGGAGTCACTGTGCTGGGGGCCTTCGGGGATTCACCTACTCCCACCCCTGACCATGAGGAGCCCCGAGGGGGACCCCGGCCTGGGATGCCCCAGGCCAAGGGGGCTCCAGCCTTCCAGTTGAACCGGTGAGGGCAGGGACTATGGGACAGGAGGGTAAGGTGGGAAGGCCACAGGTCTCCAGAGCTGGGGTGGGTGCTCCCTGGGTGGGTAGTGAGGAGGCAGGCTTGGCCAGCCCAAAGTTCCTGGCTCTCCTTCCCAGGGGTCCTAGGCCCTCTTAAGAAGGCTAGATCAGCCTTTCTGGGGATTTCTTCCTTCACCCACTCTGTCAGGATGTATGTCCCATTCTCTGCTGCCCTTTAACATCAACTCTGCCCTCTTAACCATCCACCTCTTTGTCTTGGACTTCCCCTGCTATTCTGGTCTGCCCCTTGGTTCCTGACTGTACCCTTTCCCTCTTCCTCTCAGGATTCCTTTGGTGAATCTGTGACGCCCCCCCCAGTGTTGGGGTGCTGCCAAGCAGGAGGCCGAGGGGCTGGCACAGCCCCCATCCCACTGAGGGTGGGCAGCTGTGGGAAGCCAGGAGAGAGTGCTCCTGGCCCCTGCCCATGCACTTCTCCCTGGAACACTCACTGGCCCCATGGGCGATCCTACCTGCTTGCCCTCTGTAGGTGGGGGCCTCACATATTTGTGACTTCTGTCCCCTATCCTCACCCTTGCACACTCACATGAAAGCCTTGCACACTCACCTGTACCTTCACAGGCCGTTGCACACACTCATGCTCCCAGACAGCTCTTCTGCACCCTCCCCCACTTCCACATCTCTCCACTCTGTGGCTTTCTCATCGTCTCCCCCTTGTTTCACACTTTCAGTCTTTCTCTTTTCTACATTCTGTGCTCAGTTTGTTCACTCTGTGGTCAGTGTTCCCTGCACACTTTACCTCTCAACATGCATTTCCCAGCCTAATGTCGTGGTGTTGTGTGGCGTACTCTCTCCCTCATGAACATTCACTGGTCTAGTTTCTGTGGCCCCTGCATGCTGACCCTGAGGTGGGTAAGAGGTGAGGTTGGGGCTCCTCGTGCCCTTATCTGTCACGTTTCCATCCCATTCCATGTCACATGTTTCTGTCTTCCCCCATCCCACTCCAAGGGCACTGGAATTACCCTGAGGGCTCCTCCATGGGAATAGGGGTAGTGAAACCCCAAACTTATCCCCCACCACACTTCTAAATCCTGTTGTCTGAGAGATGGGTTTTGGGGAGTCGACTGCTGCACTAAATGAGAAAGGGACTCCCACTTATCCTTCCCTTCCTCCTAAGACCCCTTTGTCTTGTCTGTCCTACTGTCTGTGTGTCACTCTTCGCATTCAGAGTCCCTGAGCCAGTCCTCTACTTCCCAGCCTTCCTTAGGGCCTCCCTAACTCCACTGAGGCTGCCAGGGACTGGAGCCAACTGGTTCAAGGCTATTGGGAGCTCTGCCTCCAAATCTACCCTTTCCCTGCCTGGGCTCCCTCATATCCCCTCCTGCCTCCCTCCTTACTTCCTTCTTCCACTCTCCCACCCTTTCCTGCTCCTCAGGTTCTTCCCTACTTCTCATCGGTTTTTCCACCTTCTTTATTCCCCTCTTACCTGGCTCCTATGCTGTGATATATATTTTTGTATTATCTCTTTCTTCTTCTTGTGGTGATAATCTTGAATTCTTGTGGGATGTAAGTTTCAAAATTTTCAAATAAAGCCTTTGCAAGATACTTGAGTCCCCTGGTTCTGCCTATGACCCCTGTAGAGGGGAGGGGTGGGCAGCCAACAGGGAGGAAAAGAAGGATGAAGGGGGGTTGGGTGCTCCAGATGAGACGAGCGGTCACCTGGCCTGCCCTGACTTGGAGCTGAGAATTGACCAGGGCTTTGACTTGGTACAAAATGGAAGGGTGGGAAGAGGAAGAGAAACTGAAGGGTGCAGCTGATGCAGGAGAGAAACTGGACTGGAACCATGGCTCACTTGTTCTTTGCCAAAGAGAGTCAGGAGAGACCATGAGAAAGGAGACAGAAGAAGGAGAATCACACAGGAGAGGCAATGGAGCAAGCAGGAAAAGGAAGGCGAGCTGATAAGAGATGGAGAGTAAAGGGAGAAAGGAATGAGAAAAATGGAGCAATGGAAAAAGGATACAAGGGAGCCATAGAAAAGAGGCTGCTCTGCTTTGTTTATTTTCAGCCTTGCTCTCTAACCTGCCTCTACCTATAGCTGTCCCTCAAAAGCTGTGCAGCATTAGAAGCCTTCTGGTTAACTTGTTAGCTTCCCCCAGTCTGCCCTCTCTGAGAGAAGCACTGCAGGGTAGTGGGGGTGAAATCCAGGGGTGTGTTTAGGGGAGGAAACTGCAGATTGCCCAGTTGGGATCAGTCACCTTTAAGTCCCTGATTCTAGGTTTGGCTCCTGTAACAGGCCTGTGAAAACCCACACATCAGCCTCTCAGCTGTTGCTAGGCTCTGTTGCCACAGTAACCATCCAGGTCCCATCTCCCCTACCTCAACCTGTGCCCCCACTTGCTCCCAGCAAATGGGATAGCCCCAGGGAGGACAAGAGGCACGTATAGTATGCAAGAGAGCAGCCCAGGACTGTATATGCTTCCATGTGTTTCTTTGAAGCTAAGATTAGGAATGGCTCTATGTTGGTAGGGGTAGTGCTTAGGTGTTGGGGAGCTTTACTGTGAACTGAGGGAAATGGGGCGGAGTCAGTGTAGCACATAATGGTGAGTGTCAGGAGGAAGAAGCGCCTTGCTCAGGATGAGAGCAGTGTGTGCATTCAGGGTGTCAGACTCCCTAAGAAAAGGACAGATTGCTACAGAGGAAAGAAGCAGAGCGGGGCCAACGATTTATGAGCCAACTCTAAGCAGAGATGTGAGGCAAACAAGCTTCTGAGGGGAACTCTGAGGAGTCAACCCAGTGGGGCATGAAGAGATCCCAGCAGGCAGCTTATGGGAGAGGGCTGGAGTGTGGGTATTGGAGGAGGTGTTGATGGATGTACTGGGGGCATTAAGGAGGGAGGGAGAGGAAGCTTCATTAACCTTTCCTTCTTTCCCCACAAGACTCTAGTCCTTGTCAAGTGAGGATAAGGAGAAAAGAGATGCACTGGCACAGAAAGGGTAGGAGCTCAGTGCTGGGGAGTACACTGGGCCCTCACCTTCAGCAAGGATCTCTCTTCCGAGGGACAGCATGACCTGGGACTCATCCATATGCAAAAGGCACACATGAAGGCCCCTGATGAAGAGGGAATTAATTATTGCCTGATTGGACCTCTGTTTCTCTAAATTTAAATAAATTAAAATATACCAGCAAGACACTAGAAATCTTCACCTGTTCCCTTTCCTAAAATGCCCTCCTTCCACCATGGAAAGTCTGATGGCGGGGAAGAGAAGGAGATTGTCCTAGACTTCTGAATTGTCCTAAAGGAATTATGCCAAACTAAATCACACTGTCATGCTAAGGAACAGACCCAACTTTTTTCCCTCCAGTACTTGAAACAGACTGTGGGAGGTCCTCAGAAGACTACACCAAGAACAAAACAATAGCCATACTGCCCTTTTGGGAATTGGAAGGTTCTTTGAGGCCACACATCACAGGCACCACTGGAACCAGCAGGTCTCTCATCATTATACTTTCTTTGTCTCTCATCATCATGCTTTCTTTGCCTCCTGGGCTGTGCATCAAATGACTCAGCTAGGCTTCTCTTAGCATTTTTCTGGAATGCTTACCATTGTGGCTCAGACCAAATCAGGAAATAGGGAAGCCCCCAGGAGGAGGGATCTCCCAGGCTGAGCTCAGGGTGTGGAAGTGATTCAAGATGGAAACAGTGTGCCAGCTGGAGAACCCCAAGCTAAAATTAACAACCCTCTCCCCCTACGCCCCACATTTATTGCTGTAAAGCTTTCTTTAGAGAGTTCAAAGCACTTAAAACTTGATTCTTCTAGCAAGGGCAGGAATAGGGCTAAGAGTTCGAGACACTGAGGCCCAGGAAGTGGCTACGTAGTGTAAATAGGAAGAATAGGAGAACTAGGACTTACAGTGATTACTACTAATTGGCTCCCACGTTTCTATGCCAGCCCCAAAGTCAAGATTTTTTGATCAGCAATCTCTAATTCATGCAGCAATAGGTCTGGTCACATGTGAGCCCCACCCCCACCCCACCCCCTTTTAAGCCTAGTCAAGTGGAGTAGTGAGAAGGGGGGAAAGTAGAACAAGGAGTTCAATCTGTAACTGACTGTGAACAATCAAGTGAGATAACTCACTATCTCTGGACCAGCCCACATGTGAGCCCTTAAGACCCTTATCCTGTCAACTGTTGCTACTCAGTCAACACAAACTGAGTGCCAAGCCCAAAAATGTGATAAAGGGAATATACACTTTTGAAAAGATACAAACTAGTTGCAAACAAAGATATATATCATCTATTTAAACATAAATAAATGTTAAAAGGTCCGGGAGCTTGGGGAAAAATAAATCGCCTAAACCTGCTTAATCTTATTTTCATTCTCTATAAACATGGACGTTATAGTTATTTGTTAAGGTTATTTTGCTTTTTCAGCAAGAGGGTATTACTGTTAATATGAGGGAATTCAATTCTGCTCTAGCCAAAACAGAGCTGAGCCCAGAGGGATTCTGGCCAAATTAGGGTGCAGGCTTGTTGCAGGTTTGCAACAGCATTCATTTCTAAAACAGTATATATTTATCAGCCTCTACTATGTGTTCAGTAAAGTAACGTGAACGGTTTCTTCCTTGAAGAGCTGACACTCTGCTTGGGGAATCACATGTATCAAATAGTTAAAACAATAAAAAGTACAGATTAAATGCTGTAGGAATTCAGACAAAAGAACCATTATAGGTGAGAGCACTCAGAGAAGGCGTCCTGAAGGAGTTAAACGCTTATACCTGAGGATACAGCACCAAACAATTCAAATTACCCCCATCAAGCTGATATTCTAGGGGGAAGAGTTGAACAGCAAACAATGTAACAGGTAGTGAGGAATGCTGTATTTAAAGTAAGGCAGGGTAAGAAGTTAGAGATGTGGGTAAGAGCAACAAGACCAAACCTACAGTAAGGGGTGTGGTCAGAAAGGATGGGTCGGATTTTGATGGCTGGGAGAGGTCCATCCTTATCCTTTCCCGCATAATTAAAGCATTGGCACGTTCTTGAGAAATAAGAAAAAATAATGGCAACGTCCTACATCAGCGTATTCCACCCAGAGGGAAGGGAAACGGCATCTTAGTCTTTTAAGAATACACAACGCCCCTCGTACCTTGATGCATAATTCATGAACTTGTCCCGTTTCTACCCTCCCCTCCCCAGAAGTCTTTTCCGGAAGCCCGAGGCCGCAATTCTTAAGGATCAGCTTTTGCCCTTAACAGAACCCGCCTTCACTTCCGCTATGGCGTCACATCCACAGAGGGTTCTACTGTGTCCTCGGGCAGAAGCTACTTCCGCCCCTACTTGTCGTAACTTCTGCCCTGAATATCCCGGAGCGCTAGCAGCACCGGATATGTTCTAGCCACTCCCGGAAGTGACTCGGCCTTTGCGCTGCCTTCTTTCTCCATTACCGGCCCCCCCCACCCACATTGCTATTTCCCTCCCTTCCCCCCCTTTTCGTTTCCGGCGCTCCCGCCTTCTCTCCGCCGCGCTCTCCTCAGTCTGTGGGGGGGAGGGAGGGAGGGAGGGAGGGGGGTGTGGAAGAATTGGGGTTCTCGGGAGCACGAGCTGCAGCACCACTTCCGGGTGAGTGTTAGGGGAGGGAAGATGGGAGGGAGGGAGGCCACCCACTGCCTCGCGCCCCCGCCCCGCGGGTGTCTCGCGCGCATTCCGTGCGTGTGAGCGTGTTGGCTCGTCTCGCGCCCGGAGTGCGTGCCCGCGCGCTCCGCCTCGCGCTCCCCCCCCACCCCCTCTGGTCCTCCCACCCCACTTGGCTCCCTCCTTTCCCAGCAAACGCCGCCCCTCCCGCGCTCTAGGTAAGGCTCTGGCGCCGCCGTAGCCTTCGCCGCCGGGTGAGTCTCGCGCCGCTGCAGCCGGCGCGCGCTAAGCTCCCTGCTCCTCCCCCTCCCCTTTCCATTGGGGGGTCGGGGAGGGGGGGTCCACGGTGTGACTGTATGTGTGTCCGTCCCGGAACCGGAAGTGGTTGTGTAGGAGCGGGCGATGGGGAGGAATGGGGGGGTTTAGGGGGCGGGTGCCGGTCTGGTGGGTAGCAGAGTTCAGCTCCCAGGAGGGGAAGGAGGGACGTCCCAAGGAAGGGTTTTTGAGGAAGGAGTGGAGGGCGACATCAGGAGAAGGCTACTAGGGGCAATCTCAGGGGAGCGAATGTTTTGGGGGGACAACAGGGGTCTCCCATACATAGACTACTGTGCAAGCTGAGGGAGGTACTTCTTGGCACAAGGCCTTGGGTAGGCAGGGGGCGAAGTCCTAGAAGACGTAGAGGGGGAGGCTAGAGGAAGTAGCTGGGCCTGAACTGGCACTGTGCCTGACACAATGGCTTGTGCATCCCCCCTAGCCCTCAGCTTGGCCTTCTGAAGCCACTCCTCAGGGGCAGAGACCTCCTCCTCTTCCAACTTTCCTGTTCTTTGACCCTTGGTTACCTGTGGCCTGGGAAGGAAGAAGAAATAGTGTTTGAGCCTAGGAGTGGAACCTGAAGGCTGGTGATAGAGTTCATCTTAGTTTCTGGGAAGTGAATTTATTTCCCTTGTATCCATATAGAGTGCTAGGATATAATATATCCTTCCATCTTTGGATTGTTGGTTGGGGGTCTGGCTGCCTTGCAGACTAACTCCTGACAGTCAAAGAGTTCCTGAGGTTATCTACAGCTCTGTGGTGGCTGCAGCCCTACTGGCTCCTGTAACCTAGACAATTTGTTTACAGAAAGTTCAGGAGCCCTGGAAAGGAGAAGGAATAAGACGACAGGAGGAAGAGAGAGAGAGGGTAAGACAATTTTGGATTAATGGCTTTTCTGGTTTGGGGGGAGAAAGGGTCTCAAATGGGTTTTTTTGTTGTTGTTGTTTTCTTTTTTTGGATTTTGGTCAGCATGACAGAATACTACAAGTAATAGAAATTGTATTCCTGATGTTTGTTGTGGGAGAAAAATGAGGTTTTTCCTATCACCTCTTGAGGGTACTCAGGAAGTGATTGGTAAAAAATTGTCACCTTCAATTCCCACTAGTACTCATCAGTAATGATGTGTGAAATGCTCAGGTGGAACCCCTGAATACTGTTGCATTGTATCCAAAAGAGAAATTTATTCTGCTTTGGGGACACATGGGCCCTAATTGCCAACAGAGTCTTAAGGAGTTATTTTCTTGTATTTGGAACAAGCAGGGCTGAATTTAGCGTGAGGCTCTTATCCTTAATATTCCAATGGAGTGTTGGAAGTGGATCTATTAAGTGATAAGAATCTGTGACATGGGATTATTTGAATTTGGTATGGCAGGGTGAAGTTTACAGGGAAAAAAATGCTTCCTGGGTAGTTTGAGGTAAAGTGGATAGAACTGTATGAAGTAGGCACCAAAGTAGGTCTGGAAGAATTCACAACATGAGGCCTGATGGTGATAGAGTTTTGAGTAGCCTGAAAATGACAATATATGAACCTAAAAGTTTGATTTCAGAGCTTTTGATACTTAGTGATATCTTTGAAGGACTAATTCCAGGCTGGTTTATAAAATATATTCCCCATAAGTTTTTCTTTTTCTTCTTCTTCTTCTTCTTTTTTTTTTTGAGACAGTCTCACTTGGTCACCCTCAGTAAGAGTGCCACAGTGTCTTAGCTCACAGCAACTTCAAATTGTTGGGTTCAAGTGATTCTCTTGCCTCAGCCTCCCAGGTAGCTGGGTCTACAGGCGCCCGCCACAATGCCCAACCTGTAAGTTTCTAAGCTAAGTTGATGATTAAATATTAGGTATAAGGCTGGGCGTGGTGGCTCATGCTGTAATCTCAGCGCTCTGAGAGGCTGAGGTAGGTGAATTGCCTGAGCTCAGGAGTTGGAGACCAGCCTAAGCAAGAGCAAGACCTCCATCTCTAAAAAATAGTTGGGCATTATGGCAGGTGCCTGTAGTCCCCGCTACTCGGGGGGCTGAGGCAGGAGAATCACTTGCGCCCAAGAGTTTGAGGTTGAGGGCAGCGCCTTTGGCTCAGTGAGTAAGGCGCCAGCCCCGTATACCAAGGGTGGTGGTATTGAACCTGGTCTGGCCAAACTGCAACAACAAAAAAAATAGCCAGGCCTTGTGGTGGGTGCCTGCAGTCTCAGCTACTTGGTAAGCTGAGTCAAGAGAATCGCCTAAACCCAAGAGCTGGAGGTTGCTGTGAGCTGTGACACTACAGCACTCTACTGAGGGCGACAAAGTGAGACTCCGTCTCTTAAAAAAAAAAAAAAGTGTGAGGTTGCTGTGAGCTATGATGTCACAGCACTCTACCAAGGGTGACAAAGTGAGTCTTTGTCTCAAAACAAAAAAAAAGAAATTAGATATGAGGCTAAGTGTGGTGGCTCACACCTATAATCCTAGCACTCTGGGAGGCTGAGGTGATGGCTTGCTTGAGCATACAAGTTCAAGACCAGCCTGCGCAAGAGTGAGACCCCTTCTCTACTGAAAAAAAGAAAAATTGCCTGAGGCCGAGAGTTTGAAGTTGTTGTGAGCTGTGACACTAGAACATTCTACCAAAGGTGACACTGTCTACAAATATATATAATACACATATATATGTAAGTTATATATACTTCTTCAGCTTTTTTTCTTTTTTTTGGCCTCACATTTCCCAATCAATCATTTATAGTAGGTCAGGGCAAGGAGAACTGTAACATTGTCTCTCCCACAGGTGACAGTGGTCAAGTGATGCCCAGGGTAGAAGCTGCTGGCCCAGATTGCCAACTCTGTGGTTTTAGTGGTCCTGTTTGGTCTGTTTGTATATGGTAGAATGATCTTTCCCAGTAGCATTGGGGTAAATCTGTTTTGAGTTATTTTGAACTTGGAAGAGTTCATGGATGTTAGTATGAGGGCCCCAAATCCTGTTGGGATGGCCCTTCTTGAATGTCTAGAATCTGAGATAAAGAGATTTTGTTTCCTTATTAAGGAAAAAAATGTTTCTTTGTGTTTCTTCATTTAAATTCGTTAGCTTGGGTGGCACCTGTGGCTCAGTGGGTAGGACACTGGCCCCATATACTGAGTGTGGTGGGTTCAAACCTGGCCCCAGCCAAACAACAACAACAAAATAGCCAAGCATTGTGGCGGATTCAAACCTGGCCCCAGCCAAACTACAACAAAAAAATAGCCAGGCATTGTGGCAGGTTCAAACCTGGCCCTGGTCAAACTACAACAAAAAAATAGCCAGGCATTGTAGCGGGCACCTGAAGAACACATAATTAGGGCAGTGCCTGTGGTTCAGTGAGTAGGGTACCAGCTCCATATACCAAGGGGGGCAGGTTCAAACCCAACCCCGGCCAAACTGCAACAACAACAACAAAAAATATCTGGATGTTGTGGCAGGTACCTGTAGTCCCAGCTACTCTGGAGGCTGAGGCAAGAGAATTGCCTAAGCCCAAGAGCTGGAGGTTGCTGTGAGCTGTGATGCCATAGTACTCTACTGAGAGTGACAAAGTGACACTGTCTCCAAAAAAAAAATAATAAATTTGTTAGCTCATATTGCAGACTTTCTGCAATTGTATATTTTAGAACTGTTTCTCTTAAGAGTGTTTTAAGTTCAGTAGTTCAATTCAAATTGATTGTTTTTCACATCTTTTTTTTTTTTTTGAGACCGAGTCTCACTTTGTCGCCCTAGGTAGAGTGCTGTGATGTCACAGCTCACAGCAACCTCCAACTCTTGGGCTTAAGCAATTCTCTTGCCTCAGCTTCCCAAGTAGCTGGGACTACAGGCACCTGCCACAACGCCCAGCAATTTTTAGAGACAGGGTATGCTCTTCTCAGGCTGGTCTTGAACCTGTGAGCTCAGGGCAGTCCACCTGCCTCTGCTTCCCAGAGTGCTAGGATTACAGATGTGAGCCATTATGCCTGGCCTAATCTCTCTTCTTATTAACAGAATAGTTGAGGCATGGTGTAGTAGTAAAGTTGAAATAAAAACCCAGAATTTCAAGAGCTGGGCACGATGGCTCAGTCCTGTAATCCCAGCACTTGTGAGGCCCAGGCTGGATTCGAATGGTGGATTGCCCGAGCTCACAGGTTTGAGAGCAGCCTGAGCCAAAGCGAGACCTTGTCTCTAAAAAATAGCCAGGTGTTGTGGCGGGTACCTGAGGGAAGAGGATCACTGGAAACCAAGAGTTTGAGGTTGCTGGGAGCTAAGACACCATGGCACTCTACTAAGGGTGACCAAGTGAAACTGTTTCTCAAAAAAAAAACAATATGCCAGCAGTCATCTTTCCATCTATTTTTTTTCTTTTCTGCTGTTTAGGGAGGCTATAATAAAAGTCTTCCTCTTTCTTCTGAGTCTAGAGGAAACTCTCTCTCTCTCTATTTTTTGAATATTGGCATAATCATCAAAACTGGCACCCCGTAGAGATGAGTTTTCCCTATATTTTCAGTGGGCTGCTTCAAGGTCAACAGAATGTTGATACGTGCATGCTTGGATTTTGGGATGTTTGGTGAAACTTGCTCCATGAAAGACAAAAGTGGGGAATAGAAAGACAATAAACAGATATTTGAGTGATCTGGCACCAGGGTATCTTGTTACACAACTCTGGGGGGCACCATGTACAAAGTCTGCCTCAGTAGAATAGTGGCATACCTTTCTCAGGTATCATTTTGCAGGTAAATGTTGCTTTATAGTTGGATGAGCAGTATTCTCTATGTATCCCTTTTTGGGCTGACCTATTTATTAGAAGCCCATAAGATACATGTATTGTCTTGACTGAGGACCAGCTGTGGTTCTGACCTTCAGCATCTTTTAAGAACCAAAACAGGGTCAAGTGAGTGCAGTGGCTCATGCCTGTAATCCTAGCACTCTAAAAGGCCAAGGTAGGAGGATTGCTTGAGACCAGGAGATCAAGAGCAACCTGAGCAAGACTGAGATTCTGTCTCTACTAAAAGTAGAAAAATTAGCCAGGAATGGCGGTGCACACCTGTTCTCCCTGCTACTTGGGAAGGTGAGACAAAGGATTGCCCAGGAGTTCAAGGTTGCAGTAAACTAGGCTGATGCCACTGTACTATAGATAGCTGGGGTGTCTCAAAAAAAGAACCAAAACAGAGTAGTACACTGGATATCTAGATGCGTGGAAAGGGCTTTTATTTATTTTGCCTTGGAAGTTCTGACCCTTTTATTCAAACTCCCATCATTCTAAATTCATGGCCAAGTCAGGTTTCATAGGATGAAAGCAAAGAATATGACCTGAACTGCGTGTTATTTAGCTGTTTTCAAAAACTTCATATTGAAAACATTTATTGGCTCGGTGCCAGTGGCTCAAGTGGCTAAGCACCAGCCACATATACCTGAGCTGGCGGGTTCGAATCCAGCCTGGGCCTGCCAAATAACAATGACGTCTGCAACCAAAAAATAGCTGGGCGTTGTGGTGGGCACCTGTAGTCCCAGCTACTTGGGAGGTGGAAGCAAGAAAATCACTTAAGCCCAGGAGTTGGAGGTTGCTGCAAGCTGTGATGCCATGTGCAATCTACCCAGGGCAACAGCTTGAGGCTCTGTCTCAAAAAAAAAAGAACATTTATTGAGAACTACCTGAAAAATGTGTAGTTTATTCCTGGAAATATTCTAAATTTTAATTCCTGAATCAAGCCACAACATCAGAGAATGTGTACTTGAGATATATGGTTTTGGTCCATTGATGCTCTTCGGTGCCTAGGTTCGGATCCCTGCTCTGCTATTTACTGTTTGACTTTTTTTTTTTTTTTTTTGAGACAGTCTCAAGCTATCACCTTGGGTAGAGTGCTATGGCATCACAGCTCACAGCAACCTCAAACTCTTGGGCTTAAATGATTCTCTTGCCTCAGCCTCCCAAGTAGCTGGGACTACAAGGCACCCATCACAATGCCTGGCTATTTTTTGTTGTTGTTGCAGTTGTCATTGTTTTAGCAGGCCTGGGCTGGGTTTGAACCTGCCAGCCGCAGTGTATGTGGCTGGTGCCCTACCTGCTGAGCTATGGGCGCTGCCTACTGTTTGACTTTTTGGCTCCAATTTTCTCATTTGAAAATGGGGATTACAATACCTATCATAGGATTGTTGTAGGATAAAAGTTATAAAGTGCTTCCAACACTACCTTGAATACAGTACACAATAAATGTTGATAGTGATGATGGTGCTGGTATTGTCCATCATAATAAAATTTTTATTTTTAAATTTAATGAATTTATTTATTTTTTCTTTGTTTGGGCGACAAAGTCTCAAGCTGTAGCCCTGGGTAGAGTTCTGTGGCATCACAGCTCATAGCAACTTCAAACTCTTGGGCTTAAGCAATTCTCTTGTCTCAGCCTCCCAAGTAGCTGGGATTACAGGCACCCGCCACAGTGCCCTGCTGTTTTGTTGTTGCAGTTGTCATTGTTGTTTTAGCTGGCCCAGGCTGGGTTTGAACCCGCCAGCTTCAGTGTATGTGGCTGGCACCCTACCCAATGAGCTGCTGGCACTGCTTATTTATTTTTGAGACAGAGTCTTATTCAGTCACCTGGGGGTTGAATGCTGTAGCATCATAGCACATAGCAACCTCAAACTCATGTGCTCAAGCAGTCTTCTTGCCTCAGCCTCCCAGGTAGCTGGGACTACAGGCAGCCACCACAACGCCCAGCAGTTTTTAGAGACAGGGCTTCATGCTTGCTCTGGATAGTCTTAAACTCCTGAGTTCAAGCAATCCAACCTGCCTTGGCCTCTCAGAGTGGATTACGGATGTGAGCCACCATCCCAAGCCTTACTTATTTTGAGACAGTGTATCACTCTGTTGCCCTGGGTAGAGTGTTGAGGCGTCATAGCTCACAGTCACCTCAAACTCCTTTGTTCAAGCAATCCTGTTGTCTCAGCCTCCCAAGTAGCTGGGACTATAGGCATCCACCACAATGCCCAGCTAGTTTTTCGATTTTTAGTAGAGATAGGGTCTTGGTCTTGCTCAGGCTGGCCTCAAACTCCTGAGCTCAGGCAATCTACCTGCCTCCACCTCCCAGAGTGTTAGGACTACAGATGTGAGCCACTGGGCCTGGCCTATGAGGACATTCTAATTTACACATTCTCATTTGTTCCCAAGTTTTCACATCCATAATGCATTTTGTTCTTTGATTCTATAGGGGGGAAACTGTATATTAGACCTTTCTTTGTTTCACCCTCCAGCCTAATTCTCTACTCATTCCCTCCATCCATCACCACTCTCACTTGCCTTTTTCATTTCTCGAAGTTAGAAGGTTAGACAGGTAGGGGTGGTGGGTTAAGGTTTGAGTCGCTAGCATGGTTTTTCAAAATTAGTATATGTAGGGTCCACTATTGTTCAATTCATTAAATATATAATGGTTGCATGTATAATTGCTTCTTGGGTTGTGGGTCCTAAATTAGAAATAGTTGTAAGGTGCAAATGAAGAAAACAAGATCATTGCCTCCTAAAAAGCTTGGCAAGGGAGGCGGCACCTGTGGCTCAGTGGATGGGGCGCTGGCCCCATATATTGAGCATGGTGGGTTTGAACCCGGCCCCATCCAAAGTGCAACAAAAAAGCCGGGTGTTGTGGCGGGCGCCCTATAGTCCCAGCTACTTGGGAGGCTGAAGCAAGAGAATTGCCTAAGCTCAGGAGTTGGAGGTTGCTGTGAGCTGTGACAGCACGGTACTCTACTGAGGGCAATAAAATGAGACTCTTGTCTGTAAAATAAATAAATAAATAAAAATTTAAAAAATAAAAAATAAAAAGCTTGGCAAGATTGGATCCCCTTAAGCTGTGATCTGTTTGTTTCCTGATTCTGTTGTGGAGGAAGACCTGAGACTGCTTTACAAAGCTAGGACTAGAAGGACCCAGTTTGCACCTATTATGTGAGAGATGGGTTAGCTTGTCCGTTTTATAACTTAGGGAACAGAATTTGCCTGTGTTTGGTCCTCAGTCATTTAATGGTGAGCCTTATTTGTGTGAAGCTGTGGTAGTCAGAGATTTGGTGCATTCTACTCTTTTTCGTACTTTTTCAGAAAAAGTAGGCTGAAATTTAATTCTTCCCTTCATGCGTTTTATGAAAATCAGGGGTGCTGTTTAAAAGGGCAAAAAGTATGGCAAGCCTTCTAAAGAAGGATAAGGAACAGACTTAGATGTAGAGCAATTTTTAACTTTGACTCCCTTGTTGAAGGTCTTTCCTAATTTATTTAATCACTACCTTGAAACCCAGTTTCTGTGCGTGGTCTACCCTGTTGCTCCATGTTGTTCAACCTTTTTTTATCTCACAGCACACTTGAACCTGTAGTTAAACTTCCGTGGTACACTTAAATTATGTCAATAAAAAAAATTAAAAAAAAACCGTTAGCCATGTTTTGAATTTCTTTCAAAAATAATTTAATTAATTATCTTTGAAAATTGTAGTGATACACCAGTTGAAAATCACTTCTCTGAAGCTAGGGGGCGTTGGCTCATGCCTGTGATCCTAGCACTCTGGGAGGCTGAAGTAGGCACATCACTTGAGGCCAGGCATCTGAGACCAGCCTTAGCAAGAGTGAGACCTCATCTCTGAAAATAGCCAGGTGGTGTGGCAAGCACCTGTAGTCCCAGCTACTTGGGAGGCTGAGGCAAGAGGATTGCTTGAGCCTAGGAGTTTGAGGTTGCTGTGAGCTACGATGCCATGGCACTCTATCAAGGGCAACAAAGACTCCAAAAAGAAAAAAGAAAATCACTGCTCTGGCTCTTAGTATCTCCGGTATGTCTCCAGCATAACCTTGGTAGGTCTCAGTTGGCTGTAAGTCACAGGTCTACCCCTCCTGCAGCTTTGTAGCTCTTGTCTCAGACTGCCAGCATGGTAACGTCTATTTCTTACTGCTCCTTATTTCCCCATCAGTCGCATACTCTCTCCTTATTTGTCTTCTGTGGGGCTGGATTTTCCTATGTCCAGGATTTTGGGAAGCTACTCTTGACCGACATAATGCCTGTTAAACATTGCTACGAGAATTGAACAGAGTGTGACAGTCATAGGTCAGATGCCTTTATTCTGTACCTGTTTATGATGTGGCAATATGAATCTAAAGGATTATTTTTCTTATTCCTCACTCACAAAGTTTTAAGCTTAATTATCATCCACATACAGAGAAGAATTGAAAGCGTAGTGTTTGAGAAATACAAAGCAAGCATCTAGTACTGTGTATGCATTCTGGCCCACCATTGTCCCCATTCTGAGTTCCTTTGGAAACTAGCATCTACTGCAGGTGCCAGAACTCTATTTGTTTAGTGAGATATGATCTTATTCTGTTGTCTGGGGTGGAGGACAGTGGCATCATTGTAGCTCACTGCAACCTCAGACTTTTGAGCTTAAGTGATCCTCCTGCCTCAGCCTCCCAAGTAGGCTATAGATGTGTGCCATGACACCCAGCTAATTTTTCTATTTTCTATAGAGATGGGTCTCGAGCCTGAAGCGATCTGGCCAGATATCAGCTGGTACTTAAAAAAAAAACAGGTTGGGCTTGGCGCCTGTAGCTCAAGTGGCTAAGGCGCCAGCCACATACACCAGAGCTGGTGGGTTTGAATCCAGCCCAGGCCTACCTAAACAACAATGACAACTACGACCAAAAAATAATCGAGTGTTGTGGTAGGCGCCTGTAGTCCCAGCTACTTGGGGAGGCTGAGGCAAGAGAATTGCTTAAGCTCAGAGTTGGAGGTTGCTATGAGCTGTGATGCCATGGCACTCTACCCAGCACAGCCCAAGGCTCTGTTAACCCCTCTCCCCCCAAATTAATTAAATTAAAAACTAGCTTGATTTTGGTTCATACCAATTCTTTCTTTTTTTTTTTTTGAGGCAGAGTCTCACTTTGTTGCCCACAGTAGAGTGCTGTGGTATCACAACTCACAACAACCTCAAACTCTTGGGCTTAAGTGATTCTCTTGCCTCAGCCTCCCAAGTAGCTGGGACTACAGGCAC